ATATATCTGAATATGGAGTTGAACTATATTTTTGCCATCTGGCCTGGTACGAAATAATTTGAGGGGTAAATTCTACCCAATTTTTAATTTGACGCTCATTTTAACATTATATTCAATAATTTTATACTAAAATGTAAAGGGAGTTTTCTAACCTGAAGAAAACACCCAAGGTAAAAGAGTTGAGTTGGATATTCCTCATTGACAAACTTGAGAGCTGGCAAATATCTTGAAGAAATTAGGCTTCTGACTAGGCACCTCAGCCTAGAGGATGCCATCTTTTAAGTCATTTGCAGGGATAATGCTTAGTCCCAAAATATGATTAAAATTTTATTCCTCACCAACATCACCTTCAGAGGTAAGTAGTACCTGGAATAATCATGAAGAAAATTTTATAGTGCTTTTTATTTCTGACGATAATCACATATATTACATCTCATTTTTGGGAAGATATGTTAATCCGGTTCCGTAATCGGCATAGTCAATGTTTCGACTCATTAATGAATTGTATTACAATGACGCGACTCCTCTAATACAAGTCACAGTCGGCGTTTAGTTAAATGTCGAGAAAATGTCAGAGGAAACATATAGTTAGTAAAATGGAATAACAGCCAAGAAAATTCGGCTAAATTTTATATTAAATTGAGTCAAGGCCTTTCAAGTTAAAGATTCTGCATCTGTGTAAGAGGTAGCAAGCAATAAACTATCTTTTATTTAGTGTATATTTATATGCTGAAGGCATATACTTCAATAGCGCTGTTTATAAATATATAATGAATGCAAGAGAATGCGTGCCCTCCGAGAAAAATTGTCCAACGCCAGATATATCGTTGTCATGGTGTTATATATTACAAGAGGCTACCGGCAGATAAGGCCAAATATGACTTAATATCTCTTTCTTCCTAATATATTAGCTTGCTTTACAAAATAATTGTATTTTTTTTCATTGTCATATACAAATGAGATACGCGTAATCGATCAACAACCCATACAGCAGCAGCATCCGCATGGGTCCTCCCTTCTGTCTGGATCATCCTTAAATTTGTTCTTCTTGCTCAAAACTTTCATCAATTGCTTGCTCATAAAATAGGGTTTGTTCTCTGTACCGTCGTTTCTTTCCAGATCCTCCATAACACAAATGAAGAGCACATCGACAGTGAAGCTGAAAACACTGAAGAATAGTGAAGCGACAGCGAAGGTGCCCACAATGACCACGATAATGGGCACGTAAAAGTAATTAAGACTATTGGTGCGTAAATCAGCGAATTGGATGGTACCGTTGAAAAAGAAGTAGGCCAATGTGCCGGCGCCCACGGTAACTACTAGCTTGCCTATAAACAGGAAGAAGCCAGTCACACTGTCTACTACCAGAAGGCGAAGGCAGTTTCGTAATATCAAGAAAAAAGCATTGGCTGCCGCAGGGCAGAATGATTTTCCAAGAATGGCTGTCACAATGTAGGCATTCTTGGTGATAAACCGAAGGACCTTATCGAGACACCAAAAACAACATGCACATATACAGAGTACAAAACGGGCCGGACAATTTGTTTTTCCGGCTAGCTGACGTCTGAGCATGGCTATCAGAGCCCTAATTAGCATAACGATTGCTATCAACAGGGAGCCAAACGCCACGGTCCCCAGATGATAGCGGCAGGTGCGCAGAAATGAGATCAGAACTGGAAACACAGGTACATCCTTCGGTTTCTCCCAGGCCCAGTACCACGAGGCAATCGCACCGGCAAGTACCATTTGCGAAAGGCCGGAGAGAAATACAAAAAGCCAGAACGCCATGAAGAGGTTGTAGGCTTGGAGATAGAAGGACCAAGCGTTGCCACCGTATTTCACAAATTGACAACCCAGGGCCTCGGGATTCGATAGATCCATACCGCAGTCTTTCACGCTGGCATTTTGTGGAAGCCAATCGACGGTCGGAGGACCGGCTTGAATAACAGACTCCGCGAAGAGAGCATTGGTACTGGGTATCTGGATTTTGGAGAACATCCGATGTCCTGTAGCCGCCAAGTAGACCGTAATGGCCAGCCAGAGCGCAATCACACCTAATTCCAGCAAGAAGGGAAATATAGGGTATATCATGGCAGTGGGAATAGCCATAATGACCTTGCTTGCCTCGCCGAGTATGGCGACTGCGAGGCTAATGCGAGTCCGTAGAAAGATGAGGATAATAAGAACTATGCCGGTTAGAATGCAGCCAACGATGGCAAGGCCCAGCCAAAATTCCTTAAGCGATAGGTAGGTGCTAAGCTGAGTTGAAATGATGAACCGGCCGTCAGCTGTAGTGTTGGCAAATAGGAAATACTCTACAAAGCAGTAGGTGGTGCTGCCAGCAAAAAAGATAAAAAAGAGGACCAAAGTGAGCCAAATTACAAAGCCAACAAAGAAGCGCAACAGCAGACAGTAGATAAAAGCGGCCACAGCTCCAATCAGGATGCAGGTTAGAATCCAGTACCACGAGGCGACTAGATCGGCTACCACCAGCGTGGCATGGTTGGCGACAGTGAGAAAGGCGAGTAGGGCAACGTTACCCTTGGCAGTGTCCTGTGCTGTGACATTTTTTCCGCTAGCATCTATTAATTGCCGGCCGGTTTCGTCAATCAGAAGACCAGTCTCCCGGATACCATCGAGCAGGAAACGTGGTAGACATCGGTTAAAGAGGTCTCCGGAGGCAACATAATAGGCGGCACATGTGTCACTCTGTACTAGCTGGTCAATAGACGTGGAAAGGTTAGCTCGTGCATCAAACGAGTCAATACAGATTAGTTGGTCGGCCCGTTTTTCAGCATCTGGCTTGACTCCAGGAAGACGTTCCTCGGCAGCTAGCGTTAGAAAGACCCAGTTCGTCGTGGGGCAGGTGGAGACGCAGACCTGAGGCGTGGGACAGCCGGTAAAGACCACTGCTGGTCCCATCCGGGCGCAGCTAAGAAGATCGAAAAAGAACAATTTCGTCTTGTTGACGAGAATGCCTTCGCCACAAAGTCGCCCCTGAGAATCAGCTGGTTTCATGAGAATGCGCGGATCTCCTTTACTGAAGGCAAAGTAGGCAACGAAACAATGACCGCAAATGAAGAGCAGGAAGATGATGAGGCAAATGATGTCTGTGCACGATCTATTTTTAATGGGTCCTTTGAAGTTAACGTCGTGTTCGCGTCTTCTGTTCTCCGGATGTTTCTCATCCCCAGCCAAAGAGCTGTAAGGACTGTGCCTGTAGCGATTTTCAACCTCCTTGTCACCCTCGTCATCAGCTCTTTTTGGGTCCTGCCTTTGGACCATTGCTTCGCAAGCTTGTTCGTCGAAGATTTTATTTATTTCTAATAGGCATTGAATAAGATGAGGAGAAGTATGAGTATAGTGAAAATCCGGCACCAATGAGGTCAGTTAGTTCTATATAAATTCTACTGCTCAATCTGACTAGCAAGAGGTCGGTCACCTCATGACTCGAACTATGGGGATGGGGTGCTTTAAAGCTGCACTCTTTAACACACTTTTTCTTTTGAAAAATTGTTTTTAGCGCAATTTTAATATGATTTAACGATAGGTATTGATGACAATTATAGCAATAGTACTAATCTTACTTGAATATTGCGGCACTTCTCTATGTAACTTGGGGTTCTGCGGCCTTGAGTATCATCTGCATCAATGTATTAGAAAAATACAGAGAAGAATTTTCTGTCTAAGTGCTAGCCAATCGAAAGCCAAGTATAGTGGAGATATGTGCACTTGAGTTGACTTGAGCGGCTATTAATAATCTATTGATCAAATTTCAGTTATTCATTCTAAACAAACCTCATTTTGTGCGTATGTCTTTGCTTTTTCTGTGTGCACACACCCATTCCAACTATAAGAAAATTCCAGATGGTATGGTATCTGCTAGTACATTGGATAGATTAACATTGGCCATTAAACTATGAGTACAAGGAAGTCAGGAATATCGAAATTTTAGGAGGCAGTAATGTGGAAAAAATCAACAACTAAAGAAGGGATTAGTGGAATGAATCCATGCAGGAAAATAGGGGGTTTGAATTCTTGGATCCATGATAGAATGGACTTCTATAATATCACCCTAAAACAAGTATTATTGCTGAAAACTAAATTGGCTAGACTGAAGTGGAAACGTTTGATTGAATGTTCAAAATCGCTGCACAACTTTATTCCAAAGTGGTTTGGTTTACGAATTGGATTCTGGGATTGCCGTTTCAGACGAGAATAAATTTCGGTAAGCTACTACCAACAGTCTTTACAGGCCTTTAAACCTCATAGTTTCAATTCACACAGGCAATATAGGGTTTGAAAAAAACTGAACTTTGCTTGATGAAGGAGTACTGAAGCTCCAGATTAATTATTGCTATCAATCTCAGTGATTGAGACCGTCTGTTATTTTAATTGAAATAACGGTTTTAGAGTGAATTCACTATAGAGCTCGAGTAGTATTTCATTATTGGTAGATTGAAACCTCAGTC